GAAGGAAAGGGACCAGGCTTGGCAGCCAGCTGTTTGAGCAGTAGGGATTAGAGTCTGGCCCTGACTGACTGGGGTTGTCATGACATCTTTCAGTCTCTCATCAACCACCCGGAGAAGCCACCTCTTCCTGCCTAAAGTTCTTACCTTAAGCACAGACATGAGAAGGGAGATGCCAAAGAGGGAGGTGGACTTGAGAATTGGAGTCAGCCTTGCTTGCAGACCGGCTTCAGCCTGATTAGCAGCTCACTGTGTGGCTGTGGACCAGTAACCTCCTCTCCAAGCTTCGGTTTTTCGCTCGGGACTGTAAAATATCATAAGATGATTCAGAGGAATTCGTGTGTGAAAAAAAAAAAATCCCTGCTCACAGTTAGTGCTTAGTATCAATAAATGGGAGTCACGTTTGCTGCTATTGTCTATGCCAGCTGTCCAGGTAACTATGGAACCTGGGGAGAAACCGTTAAGGAGGGTGTTTGTAGAAAGCCATGGTTGGATACAGATACGGGGTGTCTTTCTTCCCGTGTGGAAGATCTACAGCCAGAGAGTGCCTCCAGAAGAGCCTTTGCGGAACCTCTCCTCTCCAGGTTGGATGCCTGAGGGTGAGCTGCAGGGAGACCCAGGCCGGTGCCTGGAGGCTGGTTGCGGCCTGCAGCGCCCCCTCGTGCTGGGAGAGTGAAGGCGACCTTTGCTTTCTCCCTGCAGCTGGGACTGCAGGAGACTAGGGAGGTCTTCAGCTAGGAAGGGAACAGCAGGCTCCAGGTGAAGTTTGAGGACGCCGTAGCCAGTAACTACACTCCTCTGAACTGTTTCACACACGCTGGAGAGTAGGCACAGATAAACTCCCCAGGATATGCAAGTGTGGTATAGACAAGTTGGGGACCCAGTGAGGGAGATGGAAAGAAAATAGAATTAAGATTCTGATTAAATACTAAACTGTTCTGGGCCAGCGATGTATCAGGGCTCAGGGACCTAAGGCAGAGAAGGCAGGTAGGATGTGAAGGTGCAGCAGGAATCTTCAGGACACATGTCACCACAGCAACCCTTTGAGCTCACACCCTGCCTCTTCCCCTCCCCAGCTGCGGGGCTGGATATGACTCCCCTCTATGCAAGGGCTCCCTCCGCATCTTCCTTACAGATTCCTCTGCACACTGAAGGAGACAGTGTGAGCCTGACTACTGACATTTCCAATCAAGACAACAGAGAGCGCATCCTCCCATGGGCACCTGTCCCTCCCCCACCTGCAGAGCTGTGCCCTTGGTTCTTGTCCTCTGAGAACACGTAACATAATCAGCGAACTCCCTGGTCCCAGCACCAGATCTACCAGACACCACATCTTTATTCACAGTTTTGCCCTTGCTCTCATCAATTGCTAAGCACCCTTTGCCTTCTAGCTCTTCCTCATAAGGACTCTACTCCTAAGAACTGGTGTCCTTTCTCCTTAACAATTGATCCTCCCTCTTACCCATCGATGCACAAACAAAACCTACTGTATCTTGTTATAGAATGCCAAGCCCTCCCCATATCCCACCTACCTCTATCTGCCACATCCCATCTCTGCTCCTCATCCAAGGGTTTTCAGGACCTTGTCCTGAGCTCTTCCTGTCCTTGGAGGGGCCTATCACCAGCCACACACAGCAGAGCCTTCGAAACCAGGAGTGAGCATCTGTGCTTAGGAGGGGCAGGATCCTGGCCCCTTTGATGGTCCATACTATACTGTTAAGAGTTTTACCTGAACTAGTAGTATTTTTTACATATAAATACATATTTATATTGTATTTATAGACATATACTGCTTATAAATATAATAGCAGCCAACTACAAAACCATGAAAAAATATTTTAAAATGGAAGAGGACTCTGTTTTGGTGGTGACACCTTTAATCCCAGCACTAGGGAGGCAGAGACGGTAGGGTCTCTATGAGTTTGAGGCCAGCCTGGCCTATGTAACAAGTTCCAGGCTAGCCAGGGCTACTTACCTTGTCTAAAACAACAGTAACAACAACAATAAAAACCGAAAACATTAAACACTCACCAATAGAGTTAAGTAATCATTATCCTAATACTAAAGTGAATCCATATCCTAACACGTGTATGTGTGCAAATGTGTGTGTGTGTGTTACATGTGTGTGCAGGCGCACTTTCTTGTGCTGGTATATGTGGCAGTCAGAGGTTGCTGTGGGGATGTCACTCCTCGCCATTCTCCATCTTACTTGTTTTGAGACCCAGTCTGTCAGTCATTCCTTTTGACACAGATACTCCTCTACACATGTAGATAGTGTAAATAATCCATTCACATACATACGCACACTCACATGCATGTGCGCGCGCACACACACACACACACACACACAC